CTCCTCCGTCTTGCCGTGCCCAGACTTTGTGTCTTACTCATGAAATTGGCTGCATGTGCAAAGAGGACGATGCTCGCATCGGTTTCATTGTGCGCCGCGAGATGCGGCTCATGCTTTTGATGCCGATCTTGCCGCTTGTGGCTATGCCTTGGACGACATGCACGTCTGGACCTCCTCTATGGCTGTACCTTGTATATGCACCGTTACTCGTGCGCAACAAGGTTGTCGAGATCCAGCTCTTGAATGACATGAAGGCCAGATCGGAACTTCTTGTCATCACGGGTGTCTGTAACTCCAACCTGCAAGCCGCATCAAGCCATCGTCCGAGCTTGATCTCTGAAGGTCCCTTGGTCCGCTTCACTGGCTTTCGAATTTGCGATGGGCTGCCTAGAGCACATGGACTGGATGACCGATGGAGCCCTTCCCATCCAGGCATGGGGCGTGGCTTGAAGGGTGTTTGAAGCGATTTGCTCTCCCCGATCTAGACTCGTGCGGTGCAAATCCTGAGTCATGCAAGCTGCTAATTGGCACCCTTCGTAACTGGGTGAACAGTCCGTGAAGCTAGGCTCCGTTCCCGTTCGCGTCTCTGAGAAGATTGCAAAACCCAAGGCGCTGTGGCCAACCAGCGCTGAGTCACGCCAACTAAGGAAAGGGTCATAGCAGGGAGCTTGATTTGCAAGATAACACGGTATGTTATGACTCATGTTCTTCCTTACATCCGTACATCTCGGTACTTAAGTTCCTGACCGAGAACCCAGTTCTCGGGTGTAGAAGAACCGTAGTAGCAGGCCTCGAAATGCGAGCCCTATGCCACGGACGTGTGGGCCGCGACCTTCGAGGCCTGTGCTGCAGAGATGGCAGGACTAAAGCTCCAAAGGAATCCTGGTGGATCAGTTCCGAATTTGGGCAGATGGCTGTTTCCAAGTCGAAGTCAAACGCCAAGCTTGGGCACGGCCAGGCTGAGGGAGGTGAGGTTGCAGCAGAAGTATCAGGGATTGCAGTAGTCAGAAGTAGCGGTGACGGTGGCAACTCCTAGAAGGTACACAAGCTTGAGGCTAGAACTCGTGATTGCTTGAATTGCCTGCATAGTCGGAAACATCGCAAACCTTGTCACGATGTGGACCTGCAGAACTCCGAACAGTTCCCGTGCAGGCAGTCAAGAGGGCTCAATCATCTCCACAGAATCCCGCACCTTGATCCCTGTCTACCCCAAAAACTAAACCCTCTCGTTCTACCCGCTTCTTCTCCTTGCAGAAGTCATGGGCCTGGCCCTTCGCCCATGTCATTCGCCTGCTTCGCTTTCCAGGAGTGCCTGGGCTCTCAGCTATCTTACGACCAATTGGTTTGATGCGGCTTGTGAAGGGGTGTCAAAGACGGGTGGATCAACCCAGGGACAATAACCGTGGGTGACCTCGATCCTTAGTTTGTTTGGCCGACATATGCTTGTACTTGGCCCCCAAATTCCCCCAGACTCGGTGCAGAATCGGGGATGATGGCCACGGCAACTTGAAGGGTCCTTTTGCGTTTACTTCTTCCTCCTATGCAGAAGTTTCTCGCGCAGCCTTCGGGAGAGTCGTTTGCATGACAGCTCATGCCATCGCATGACAGTCAAAGCAACTGTGATGAGAGACTCCATGAAGTGTGGTGCATTGCTGGTGCACAAGAGGTGCTGGTGCTGGCATTGACCGCCTCGGCTTTTACGCAGCAATTCTTTGGCAGCGTTGGGTCGGCACAGGCCTTCGTGCGACTTGTGTGATGTTTGGAATGCCGCTGCTGTGTGCATGCCACCTTCGCTATGTAATTGCTCAAGACTTTGTAATACATGAACTGCTTTACGGCAGCATGTTCTGCCTGAAACACGGGTCAACTCCAGGTTACAGACTGGTTGAGTCTAGGTCGTACCCAACAGGGCACACGAAGCATTCATGTAGTGATCTCTGGCTCATGATGGGCTGGGCAGTTTCTCACCAATAATTGGGTGTACTTGCGTGGAGCTCATGTGCCATCAATCCACTTTCTGTATGTGGGCATGGTCGGTATCTACAGACGACAGTGGTGCCAGCATTCATTCATGAATTTCTGGCTTTTTTGTGCAAGCCTTGGAAGCATTCTTACTCGCAACGTTTTCTACCCAGTGCTTGCACGCGCAACCCCATTTTGCGAGTGTACCCAAACGCGGTAGAACCACAACTGGAAGTACCATGATGCTGCAAGGCTTCAGTAAACAGCCTGGGGTCGGACACAGCGGCGATGAGCGCTGTGGCTGACACCTATGCCAAGCGTGACCGGGTATCACTCTTGTAAAATTAATTTTGCCAGGCAGATCTCATTTTGCTGCGTCTGTTGGTGTCGCTCGTAGTCTGCTTCTCGGGCCAGTGCTGCATGGTTGCCCTGGCAGGATTCCAGCAGTGCCGGGATTACCGACAGGTCGGGCCCTGGCACGTCTTGTCTGTTGATGCATGGATGGCTTAGCTAACAGTTTCAGGATGTTGGTTACCTCCATGTCGAAAGTCTTCCTGGAGAATGCCTTCCAGCTGTTTCTTCAGGCTGGGCCGACGCCGATGTTGATGATGACAGGGATATGGGTTTAATGATGCTGACGATGCCAGGGCTGCCTTCCAAGACCGTGCACTTCGAGACAAGTGTGGAGTCGTGTGTCCCATACATATGCACACATCTGTATAGTATATATGTATATGTATATGTATGTGTATGTGTGTATATATATATATACGCATGTATACATGGATACACGCATACACATGTGGTTTCCATCTCTCTCTCTCTCTCCCCCTCTTTCTCTGTACATGTGTAAATCTGTAAATAAATCTATAGTATATGCACACAACTATATACACATACGGTCAGCCCCGCCAAGGTCTACGCCCTATCCGTTCCACGTTCTCTGGCACATGCCACAATGTCTCGTTTAACTACGCCATGTGCAGAAAATGCTGTAAACACCAGTGAAATCGGCTTCTGTGTAGCCGGCCGCTGTGCTCATCGCATGTTTTCGAAATCATTGCACAGAACATGTTGCACACCAGGTCGAAAGTAGAAGTGACTATGAACGAGCAGAAGCCAGATTAGCCGTATGGCCGGGAAGGAATGTATGATGAACATCTGTACTGTACAACCTGTACAATGCAACTCTGTTAGACGTCCAAGAGCCCTGGGGGGTGCTTTTAGTCCGGGTTTGGCAGAAGCCGAATCTAGGGACAGCACAAAACTGTGAAGACTCCAATGCTTTAAAGTGCTTTGCTGTCCTTAACATTTGGTCTTTGGAGGAGCAGACTTTAGGGACAGCACTGCACTTTCAAACTCCGCCGCTAGCGCTGCAATTCCAACTGTCACAAAGCGCTCAGCCCCAGAATCCTTCGGTGTAGCGACCGGGTTTCGGCCTTACAGCTCCCCACTTCCAAAGCCCTGAACACATCACCGCCGCCGGCCCCAGAAACCGCACCCTTAGGAGCCCCTCAGCGATGTGTACGTAGAGGCATTTGGATTATATTCCTTGGGCTAGCTACCTTCCTGGATCTGAATACGTAGTCGCACGAGCTCGCCAGAAAGCTGGCACTCTCCGGGTAACCTGGTTCCAGGCTAGCTTCTACGCCCTGATCTTCGAGAAGCTTGACAGCATGGGCCGACTAAAGCTCCTTTTCTCTATGGGACTGGGCATCCTAGCAGCCTCAAAGAAGCTGCTGGAAGTGGCCATGGTTCTGATGGCATGCCGGAAGGGTTTTGGACTGACCGCAATGTTCTCCTTGTTCACATGGGTGCCCGGCCTCTCCCTTGTGGCCTGGGTCGTGGCGAAGCTTTGTTTTGCCCACATCTGCCCTTCCCATTTGTGGAATTTGACTGGCGGGTGTGTGGAAGTATGAGGCTCACATCAAAGTTTGACAGGCGCGGCAGCATTACCTTATCGGATCCGGCAAAGCAAGGTGCACTAGGTCTTGCCAACACCCTCCTAACCCAACGCCCTAAACTCGAACCTCAAGTTGGCAAAGCTGCTGCTTCTTCATGCCGTAGGAGGCGACAGCTTCCCTTGCCGAGCAGGGCCTCAGTACTGGAACCCAGAGAAAAGGGGTTTAGGGTTTAGGGTTTAGGGTTTAGGAATTATGGAACCCAGAGACAAGTTTAGTTTTTGAGAGCGCTGCCTAGCCTGAAGAAATCTTGCAAATTCCTGTTGAAGCAGAAAAGTTCTCTGGGTTTAAGTGTTACAGACAGTAGGACCCCCTTGCAAAGACCAGGGGGGTATGAAAGCTCAAATGAGGCAGGGATTGAGTTAAGGATTTTTTTGCGTGCAAAAAGGCTCAGAGCTCGTTAGGAAATTGGCGGGTGTTTTAGTTTACTTAGGTGTCGCTCTGGGGATACACACTCGAAGATGTGCTTATATGTATGTATGTAGGTAGGTAGGTAGGTAGGTAGGTAGGTAGGTATGCAGGTAGGTAGGTAGGTAGGTCGGTCGGTAGGTAGGTGGGTGGGTGGGTGGGTAGGTTGGTAGTAGGGTAGGTAGGTATGTATGTATGTACACATGCGTGGGATGCGGTGTTGTGTCGTATGGGGCCGTACACGCACAGTAAATGTACATTGTCTGGGTTGCTGTTAAGGAACTTAAACTAAGTTACAATAATTGGGGAACCATATGAATTACTATATATCCCCATTATGGTAACTTAAACTAAGTTCCTTAACAGCAACCCAGTTGTAGGGTTGTCAGATATGACATGGCATCGGGCATCTTTCCCTGGCCTTGCCCAAACCCCAAACCCTGAAACCAAGGCAGAAAGCTCCAGCTTCGGGTTGCGAGAGCGGAAACCCTAAAGCACAAAGCTCCGACATGCGCAGCTGGTAGTCTCACTCAATCGACCAGGCACCACATGCCTCGCCTGAAATATGCGCCGAACCCGTAAATCCGAACCCAAAGCCCTAAACTCCCACTCGCAAAATCCAAACCCGAACTCACGAACCCTAAACCCTAAACCCTAAACCGCTCAGAGGCCTGGGGTTTCCTCCTCGAGGGCCTTCAGACGCGGCTGCGCCACGGCGCGCGAGGTCCAGCATTGGAGGCCCGGGCAATATAGGGGCCGGCATTCTTCCTACAGGGTCCCTTATATGGGTAGTTGTCAAAATTATGGTCCCTGTTGGGGCACCCTAAATAATAGGTGCCGTATTATAATAAGGACCCAAAAAGGGACCCTAATTTTGACAACCACCCATATGTACAGTAGAATATATATACCAAATCTCTTTTCTAGATGTTAAGGCCCCTACATTATTAGGCAGTGTTTCTTGGGGTACTTGCAGTCCTTTATAGTACCTGTATAACCATGGTACAATAATAATAGTAGTAGTAAATCCCATGTTAAGGTTTAGGGACTGTAGAGTTTGGGTTTGGGTTGAGACCGGCACATTCCTCCGGCCCGTGCTCAGAAAGTGTTCTTTAGGGTTCCGTTTGGGTACCCCTAGGAATCCGACTGAGGAGACAGTAGTTTGTTCTAATCCCTGGTCTTGCACACGACTGGGGTGCAGGCTTACGGTTCATCTATAGTCAGTTTAGCTTGACTTGAATGTTTCCGATGATCCTTTCCGGTTCCTTGGAGGAATCCTAATTCAAAAGCTTCCCTGTCTCCTCAGCCACTCCATCTTCAGAGTTAGACCCTCAAGCTGCAGAGCTAAATCCACGGGCTTCAACCGGAAAACAAGACCTAGATGGCGAGACCTGAAAGTATTTGGGGCCGAAAAACCAGTACTAAGCTTCACTTGGTTTTCTTTCCGGAGAGTTGGCCAGGTTTTCATCGCAGCTTCGGCACGGAACTGCATTGTTCTTCATAACTAGTATTTGCCTGAAAGGTAAAGAGGGCACATTTGTCGAGTAGTAATCCGGAGATAACAAGGATTGGGCGGCAGCCTTCCCTAGAGCAGCCCCAACCATAAACTGAAATTTTACACACGCACACACACCCATTCCCAATTCCGCAACTTCATCAACGTTTCTGTCAAAGCTCAACAGCGGTAGCAAATTTCACCTCAACCGCCCAGGGCTGGCCGCAATTGTTAAATTTGAGCTTGAGGGCCCTTTAAGTGTATCCCTAAGAGTCCCTATACGGGCACATTTTTTTGGGGTTTTGAGCTTTGGTTTCCTGCTGCTCAAGCACTGTTTCCGCACTTGCCCCGACGACGTGTCCTATTCTTTTGCATTTAGGCGTAGGGAACCTCGACCCTAAACCGGAACCTCGCCTAGGCATGTCCGAGTGAGTGCTGAAACCCCAAACTGGCCCTGGAGCCTAGACCCCGAACCTTTCACCGTCAGCCAACAGCCTCCTGTTCTTCTGTGTTTGGGAGTTCCCGAACATAGGGTCCTTAGTATCGACTTTGAGTAGCAGGATCCTTAGGCAGAAGGACACCTAAAAGAGGATACCCTAAAGTACCAGGAACCTCGCCAGGCTTGTCCCAGTTAACCCTAAACCCTAAGTGTTAGGGTTTAGGGCTTAGGGTTTAGGGTTCAGGGTTTAGGGTTTAGGGTTTAGGGCTTAGGGTCTAGGGTTTAGGGTTTAAGGAAGTGCTGCTTCCCAGCTGAGTGGCAGAGTCTGGGTTCAAAAAGGGTTTAGGGCTTAGGGTTTAGGGTTTCCCGCCTCGAGGCCGTGCGCCGGGATCTCGGCAGTCTGGACGAGGCGTTGGGGCCCTTCTTGATGTCTTGGGGATCCTTTTCAGGGGTTTAGGGTTTAGGGTTTAGGGGTTCCTTCCAGGGTCCGTGCAGATTCTATAAGAAGGGTTTAGGGCTTAGGGTTTCCGGCATACTCGGGCTCCAGGTCTTGAGGTTGATGTCCGATTTCTGGTTCAGGGTCAGGGTCTGGGGTTGAGGATTCGTATAGAAGCTTTCGTGTCTGAATGCCGTCAACTTCGTAACACCCTTTCCGCTGGAATCGAGGATTGAAGCAATATATCTCGAGCTGCAACGCCCTAAACCCTAATTTTTTGAGGCTGGGCAGCTTGGCATTGAGCACATGTTCGTGCGAAAAGGGATGCTGTTACATGCAGGCGGTATGTGCGTAATTAGAAGCTTATATTGCCTAGTGTGCGATGTGTGTGTTTTCCGCCGAGCAACTTGACGCAAAGGAAGACCACGGCCCCCTGCAGTCTGTTCCGCTGAAAACGCTTCACACCGTCAGCCACCTATCCCCAAAGCCTTAAGCCTCTGAAGCCCTACCCCACTAGCCCTGCAGTAGAGTAGCCCGTGAGCATTCAATCGCAAAACTTCAGCCGCAGCGCGAGAACTAATAAAGGGGTCGGAATAATCAGGAGGAGGATCCGCTCTAGTCCCTCCCGCGCCGTACTCGAATCATACTGGCCCCCTGTAGTCTTGCTTCGACTTTGTCTAGCTTGGCCCACTTTCAACTGTGGCCGCAGCAGCAGCTGCTGTACTAGTTCCTACTGGCAAGACTACTTTTCCTACCGCTGCCGTTCTATTTGTTCACGGTGTTCCGGGTCTGTGGGTTCTCGATGTGTGTGTGTGTGTGTGTGATGACGGCTATGCCGACAACTGTTGCGAGTCTGTCTTGTTGCGGGCGACTGGGTCTTCAGCTTGGAATGTTTCGCATGTCCTTTTCTCTGTCTTGTGGGTGCTGGGTCGAGCTACAGGTTCTACGGATTTCGGAGATTTTGCCGTAAGGTTGGGAATGTTTTGAGCGACACCCACAAGAAAAGATACAAGCTTACCAGATAAGCAGTTGTCAGTTGTCTTCTTCCTGTATGTACGTATAGAAGCATGGTATAGCAAATGGCGAACTGCATTGCCCCGAACCGTGCCTCAGGCGGCAACCGAAGCAATGCAGCACCTCCTCCAAGTGGCCCGCGATGCTCCCACAGCCTTGGCCTCATCTGGGGTGGCTTCTTAGGAAAAGAGGAAGTCGAGTCTTTGAGGGCTTCGGTGGGTTTCGGAGTTGAACCCAACAAACCTTATGGGAGTTTCCGAAAATAGGGGGTACCTTATTTTAAGGTCCTTATAATAAGGATCCTACTATTTAGGGTGCTATATTTGGGTCCCCTATTTTCGGAAACCCCCTTATTGGTTTGGAGACGTCCAAGTTTTGGAGCTTCAGCTTTCGGAGCTGGCACGGTTTGAGTGCTTCAAGTCGAAATCTCAGCCCGAATCCCGAAACTCCTCAAGACCCGTCATCCCAGACCCTAAACCCTAAACCCTAAACCCTAAACCCTAAACCCTAAACCCTAAACCCTAAACCCTAAACCCTAAACCATCCCAGACCCGTCATCCCAGACTCAATGCTGCCGAACCCAGAGACGCCAATATCCCTTCATTAAGGAATATACCTTAACTATATAGTAGGATCCCTAATATGGTTTAAGGGATATTCCTAAACCCTAAACCCTAAACCCTAAACCCTAAACCCTAAACCCTAAACCCTAAACCCTAAACCCTAAACCCCTAAATTAAAGGATATTGGAGTCTTTGGGAAACCCGGAGCCTCTCAGAAGGCCCGCTGCTTCAGAGCTCCTCTAAGCCCGAAGCCCTGTCCAGGTTTCTGGTTTAGGGTTTAGGGTTTAGGGTTTAGGGTTTAGGGTTTAGGGTTTAGGGTTTAGGGTTTAGGGTGTAGGGTGTAGGGTTTAGGGTTTAGGGTTTCAGGTTCCGTTGATTCCCAAACCCTCGATCCTGGACCCTCAGCCTATGTATAATATAGGGGCCTAAATAAATTTACCTATACTGTTTTGGGGGTTCCTTGTGATAATCATACAAGAATGGGCCCAAAACCCTATTCTAATTAGTTAGGCCCCTACAACCGGAAACCCCTGAACCCCTTTAGCCCTGACACCCGGAACCCTAGACGCCCTAAGCCGAAAAGATGTGCGCCTGCGGATCCTAATGCACGACCATGCTCCAGGAGGTCCTCACGCTGCCAGACGAGTCTCGGTACTTTTCGGACTCGGCGCTATTTGGGGTTTATGCTGTTTAACGGAGGGGTGTTGGCAGCATTATGCCAATGATTGTGGTTCATTTAATGTATTGTGTTGTTGTGGTTGTTGTCGGTATTCTTTCTCTGGCCTCTGTTATGTTTGGGGCATTTCGTTCTGATGAAGCCCCCTTGGAGCTTGCTGCCTGAATGGGCGCACACCTGAAATCACGCATATGCGCGATGCACCAGCACGTGCAGCCGTGCCCGACGGCGTGATTAAGACACGCTCGAAGGTCCCGAAACACCGGCACCGGCCGCCTCAGTCGCAGCAGAGCAGCGGGGAAGAAAGTGCTGTGCACACCAACATGATGACGCTCAAGCCTGGGACTTCACATCAAGACAGGCGGATGGGCGAGCGCATCATCATGAATAAAGCCTTTTGCGTCCAGGAGTTGGCAACGAAGCTTACTGTCCAGTGCTATGCTGTGCAACATTTTACAGCCTTCATCCTGCTAGATAGTTGCAGGCTAGTAGCAGTAGCTTCAGCAGCCTTCATGGTGCAGAAGCAGTGCAGTTGCAGGGCACTGCTAGGACGGTCGAAAGGAGACTCCTCCGCAGAACTGGAACGCCAGACATGGCGCGAGCATCAATGAGAACCTGGTTATTCGACGTCTCTTTTCCTCTCCCTCAACCCTCAACCCTAAACCCTGGCCAACACTCGATGGAACAGTATCGCTGCAGACAGTGCCAGGCTTCTCCGAGTGCGAGTGTCAAAACCCTCAACCTGGGCTTTGGAGTACCATACTTTAATATTTGTTTTTTTGGGACCTGTTCCTTAAAGGAACCATTCTGAAATAAAAGTCCATACTGTTTATCTCCCTGGTTACTTCAAAGCCCAGAAACCCTGAATCCCCCTAAACCCTAAACCCTGAAGCCTAATCGTCCCAGGATGCAGAAGGCCATCTTGACCGTGCCCGGGCATGCACTGTTTCAGAGAGCGTGTTTGTTGTTGGTACCACTAGACCATTCTTTTTGTTACTACTTTTTCGTTACGTTAATTACAAGTGTTTCTATCTTTGTTATTGTTGTTGCTATTGGGCTATTGTTATAGTTGTTACTTTATTGTTGTTTCGTTGGCAAGCTTCCGGCGGTGCCATACCTGCCAGCTACAAGAAGTTCTTCTTTGGAGGTCTGAAAAACACACACACACACACAC